ATATTATAAGAGTTGCTATATAATATTTATCACAATGATTCCACAATATCCCAGATGAGAATGTGTGTTATTTCAATTGCCTTCACTGTGATGGGGCACACGGTAGTGTAGTTGAGTGAGGCACTATGCTACAAACCGGAAGGTCACAGGTTCAAGTCCTGATGAGGTCATTGGATTTTTTTCAATTCACCTAATCCTTCAGGCCGCACTATGGCCCAGGGGTCGACTCAGCCTCTAACAGAAAAGAGTACCAGGAATACTGTTGGAATATTCTTGGGGGTAAAGGGCGGCCGGCGCGTAAGACTGACAACCTTGCCGCCATCTATCAGCCAACTGTCTAGAAAATCTGGGAACCTCAACATCTCACAACCCGATGGGCCTCCACGGCCTGTTACAAGGATACATTTACTTTTTACTTTACTTTTACTTCACTGTGATATAAATCTGCTCTGTGAAAAATGGTCCTGGTGACATACCTTTATACCAGGCCTCCAAAGGTGTCTCATGTTAAGCCCTTCCAGATCAACTAGAAGTGACCAAGTTGAGATAGGCTTCCCTTGTGTCCTTGTAGCCTCTTCCATTAACTGAAGGCCTTCCTCACACACATGCAGAGTCTGAAAATGTTATGATGACATTAATTTCAGAGCAATGAGCACTACCATGATATCTTTCAAGGAACAGTAACTGGAAAACATGGCTACAAGCTAACTTTTACACCATCTTAAATTATTCTTTTTACTGACCTCCCTACAGTATTTATGGCAGAAGAAGAACTTTATTTTTAATTTCTGATATTAATATGTGGTACATTTCCCTTTTTCTAAATTATGATTTCCCTTAAATTTCCAGAAGGTGGAGGGTTTTGGGGTAGCAGATGCCTGGCTTGCACTCATTCATTCATTTATTGTATATTCCATAAATCCATATACATAGATATAGAACCAGTCACATAATTAATATAGTACAATACAAATATAAATATATATGTACAGTTTATAATCATTAAAATAGATAAAAAAAATGTGTTAAATTTATATCAAAAAAACAGTCTTACATCACTATACATAAAATTATGCAATATTAAAATTGTTTATGCTATTATCCTTACTTCTAGGCAAATTTGTTACTAAAGAATTCATCACCTGTATAAAAAGAGTTTTGCAATAAAAATGTTGTCAACTGAATTTTAAAATTTTTCAAGTCATTAGACATAGATTTGATTTTTGGTGGCAAATGATTAAAGATCTTTACCCCCATGTAACATATTCCTTTTTGGAATTGTGTCAGACTAGTTTGCGGATAATGCAGATCACAGATAGATCTGGTACTACAATTATGCATTTGTGAGTTGAATGTGAACAATTCCTTATTTACTATGACAAACAGAGAGATCGACAATATATATTGAGCTTNAGGATCTGTTTAACTTATCAATTACTGCAACAATATGACTTTCCCACGTTAAAAAATTTTCAATTTTTAATCCCAGAAATGATATATTAGAAATACTTGGAATTTGATTGTTTAAATAACTAACTTGAACGTTTAAGTTTTTACTGTTTTTAGTTCTAAACCGTAGAATATAAGTTTTTTCATAATTTATTACTAGCTCATTTTTCCTAAACCATTCATTTATCATCTCAAATAATTTATTTATTCTAATTCTAATCTCATATATGAAGCTTTGATGTATCATTTTCATGCAACCACATCCAACAATTTACAGCTATGTACAATTTCATTTTGTACTACTGAAGAAAGACATTCAATAACATCAGTATGTTGTGAATCGCTTTATCTCTTCTTTGCACAGAGTTCATAAAATAAGTAGATAACAGGTGTCAACATTTCAGAAGAACCTACAGTGAAATTCTGATTTAATATGCCCACATTTAGTAAAATTCCATATTTTCTGGCTCAAGCTAAGGCTCAATATAATGAATGCATTATTTTCCCATATTTAGTAAATTCTGATTTCGTAAATAACCTGCACTGAGTTTAAGAAATTTTGACATTCCAGAATTGACAAAATCCCTTTTCTCCTTTCCTTCACAATCAAAGATACAGTAAATTCATTTCAATCATATTTATATCAACACTATCACCAAAAGAAACTTATATTTTAAAATATCCCAACAGTTTCATTGCAGCCATATGATATTATCCTCCCATCTATGTCTGGGTCTGCCAAATGGTTAGTTTCTTGACTACAAAACAGTTAAAACATTAAGTTACAACTTACAAGCTGAAGAAGCCCCTCTTCACCGATAGCTTTCAGCAGTCCCTTCACATCCATCTGACCAAGTCGCAATAGGTACAACGGTCGTCCATCTGAAAACATTTTAAAAAATGTCAGAACATTCAAACCAGAGATGTGCTAAATCTGGAGCATTCAGCTCAAACAATTATGGATAATATCCTGAAATGTTCACATAGGCAATGATAATATTCAATAACATCTGGGTATTAAACACAAATTAAGCTTTAGAAAACATATGTCCACCTAATATGTCTATATAGATGCAAAACTTCGTTGCTAATACCATGATCTAAGATCCCCACAGCAGTTGGTATAAAGAATGCAATCTTCTGGCTTATAACACCAGGTAGTCCAGCAAGACCCTGACATTTCAGAGGTACATACTGCCTCCATCTTCAGGGTTGAAGAGCAAGCCAAGCAACCAGCAAGAAGCAAGCAGCAAGCAGAGTGAGCTGATTAGTTGCATATTTAATTTACTCCTTGACCATGAATATGAAGGCCACACATTCCCACAAAATGTCAGTGAACTTATACCACACTACCAGACACCACATCTTCACAATCATGGATGTGAGATCCTCAAATCAAATGTGTATTTGGTTCTCACCCTTGTCACCATGGTGCCAGCCACCCGGAAAGTAATCCTTCACAACCTGCGGTGTTTTATATTCTGAGAGAATCTTATCAACTTGATGTTTCTTACGCCACATCAGGGATTGTGACAGCATTTCCCGGGCCTTCTCCACATTGAAGTCTCTTGCCCTCAGAAACCGGAGAAGTGTAGAATCACTAGGAACCTGGGAATAGACACAGTGCAAGTCATTGTTTTGTTGGTTTTCTGGATTGGTCCAATATAATCAACTGATCTGTAGTACACACATAAAATGTAAAGCTGCCTTTGTGCTTAAGTAGTAAGCACCATGCTATAAATACATATTGGGAAGTGGAAGTATAGCTCCACACATCTTTCTTAATGTTGACAGCAGATGGAGGTGAATGATCAACTTCACACCCAGCTGCTTTACTCCTGGAGAAAGAGGCCCTGAACACACTAGACCAGAGACTGGGTGGGTTACAGTGCCAGTCTGGAGACTGTGGAGAGATGAAAAGTCACCTCTGCAGGAAGTAGAACCCTAAATCCCAAGTTGTTCAGCCCATAGCCTACTGACTATACTGACTGAGCTAGATTTGTTTCAATTTAAATGATAAATGCAGATGCCTTATAAAAAGCAACATTTCAAATAACAAACATTAACTATAATATAACCAGAAAAAAAAAAGAGATTTAAAAATACAAAAATGAACAAACAATGGCAAGGAACATATGCTTTGAGTTGACCAGATAAGCAGTAAGAAAAGAATACGCCTCAAGAAATAAAGTTAGTAAATAAGAACAGTTGATTTACCTTGCCCTTCTGTAGGTCTGCCACCCATTTTCGAAGCTGAACTAATCTTGACTCCTGCAAAAGGGTCAGCTCTCCTAGATAGCGCTGAATGTAATCAGTGTCCAACTGGAACTGAGATTCTGAAAACATTAAGTAGATTCATTAGCCACAACATTCTCTTCCTCCTCATTATGATGATCATCACTGTCAACCTTTCCAGCATTACACCTATTGATAACTGTTATGGATATTACAAAACAGTATTCTACCATTGCTTCAGAGGCCTCTCCAAACTCCTTTTTCCTCCTGGGTAATATATTTAAACTTGCAGAATCCTGCCAATGTGATCTTTCAATTTCTTCTGCATTAATTCTGTTCTATAAGTTCTGTTATTTCTGAGATATATAATTTTTTCATAATTTCTTCATTTCTTTCATGGTCTGAAATGGTGTATCTCCTCACAATGTTTTATAAAAAGGCTTTTCACATACATTAGGTGACACATTCTTTATGCGTCATAAAGAAAAGTTCTTATGAAAATATTATTTCTGCCCAATAAAATAAAACTACAATTCAACCCAATTCCAGTTGAAACATTTTATAACACCCGGCAACTGGGACACCATGTTGATGATGTGCTGTGTTTATTTATTTATGCATTATTTACACTCATGCCATCAGCAACACACAGCACATGACAGAACAATTAGTGAATAATAAACAGAAAAATATGCAGCAGAAAATGATCAGAGCCTAATTTGTGGTACTATGTCCACATATGCGTGAAGGCACAGGGGATTATTAGGAAAATCTTCAGCTAGGATAGTCAGTCTCCAAGCCAAGATCTGAACCCAGGACCTCAAAAATATGAAGAAAGGGTGCCAACCACTCAACTGCAGCATCCAGTAGATGAAGAATTAGCTCTGAGCAACTTCAGAATACCAATATTTATGACTTCTTAGTTTAATGATCATATTCACCCAGACCTGAGACAAAGCCTTGGAATTCTAAATGTGAAAACAAAGAGATAAACTGTCACTAAAAGGCTTTACTATTTCTCAATAATGTCACATGTTGCCTATGCAGCGTTACAAATAACTTCACTTAGCCTTCGGATTCAACAATTATTTATTGAACTCATTCCCTCACAGAGTCAGGAATACAGTTACTATCACTTGCAGTATCACAATTACTGCTTCCACTATACCTCGGCAAATACTGAACTGCCTTCAACGGTGACTCTTAAGACTGATTTGTTACCACGGAAATGCATTATTCTTGCTGGTTCAACAATCCATTGTTACGCAACGAACCTTCCATCTCTGGGAAAATGCGTTTGTTGATTCTGCAATTCCTACACATCGGTCCACTGTTATTGCGTTACCATGGAAGTATCTACCATGACCCCTGGGATGTGACACCATACAATGAGGCAAACAGGTACCATTATTCCTCAGGATCCTACAGTTTACAAATTAAAAGAAAAAGATGAATAGAATCTGACAGATGGTTACCATTGTTTCAGAAGAAGCAGCAGCCTCCATCTTCAGGGTTCAAAAGTGCTGATATGGACTAAGTGGCAACATATCTCACAAGACCACAGATGTAATATTCACGACTGTAAGAAATTCAAATCTCATACTATTTGAAGAGTTCTGTCTTCTGGGATATAATGCCATGTTGTCCAGTGAAAGTCAGCTGGCACTTCTTTCACAATCAGGATAGATTATTGAAAGAGCCAAAGAGAAAGGAGATTTGGACACACATTTATGTATACACAAAGCAGGGGGGCCCCACCCTGTGAACTGACCTGATGAGAGATGTGGTGCTGTTTTGCTAGCAGTTGCGCAAGTACTGTAGTCAGAGGCAGATGCTCCCAGAGCAAATTCTCCTGAACTTTGACTTGTATCACCATGTGCTCTGCAAACAAACAGAAAAAAAAATAATTTCACGGATTTAGTATAGCAATAAAAACAAATGAACATGAAGACACACACAGTCTGAATCTGAATGTTAACTTAGACGTCACTAATGGCATTTGTTGTATTTGTAGTTTTAAAAATGCTATCAGTAACTCAGGCTCTATAGCGCATATGACTGGATGACAGTGATAATGGCTTAGAAAAGATGTGGAAGAACTGGTCAAGCATAACTTAAGATATTACAACAGCATCTGCCTCAAAGGACTGAACAAAACCATACAGAAACACCAGTGCTGTCAGTGTTCCACCCAACAATCAAACCAAACACCTCCCAAATAAGAGTCGGTAGTATCACTGCTGGAACCAACTTGATCAGAAGGATGGCATTTAATGCACCTTCAATTAATGGTACAAAATATTACAGCTGTGATTTATAAAAATGTATCCATCTGATATCATATTTATTTGTAAATGTAACAAGCACTGATCTCACAAACTGTGCTGCCATTCAGTCACATTTCCTGTAAAGGTTAATATGCAAATTTAAATAGCCATATTCACTTCCACTATATGACATCTCATATTTCAGTTTTCGTCATCAAAAAGAGAAAGTTCTGAACCAATTTCATGAAACTTATTAAAAACTGAGTCATTATGGGCTACCTCAACACTGTACTTTTTAATTTCCTACAATCAGTAATAACATATGCTGGATGCATGAACTGAAGATGTGGGAGCAACATTAACACTTAACAATACAGGGCACTTATATGATGTATTGTAACAGAGCTTTTAAATATATGTCAATTTTATTAAGAGAAGAATTTTGTAGACTCTATAATAATGACCTGGTAGGTGGCTGCACAAACGTTTTCTTCATCTTCTAATATAATGGCAATAATGAATCACTGGAAGTTATTATGTTGTACACATACTCAACAGCTAGCAAATAAACTTTGTAAAATATGTTTTGCCCTAAGAATAATCAGTAGAGTAGCTGGGCCAGAGACTGTTCGTACTTTATATTATGCGTATTTTCAATCTATGTTANCTGGAAGTTATTATGTTGTATTCTTAAGGCACACATAATGTAAATTTAAGTAATAAGTTCTTCACACAATAAAAGTAATATAACATTAGTAATATTAATAAATCTGAAGACCTAGAACTCCATGAAAATAAGAAAGAAAACCTTATGAGTTCAGTTCAGTATTCCTTGTCAAAAGTTCATGCTCTTTGTCTGGCTGAAACATTTTTTCCTCTCAGTTAAATGAAGGGTACAATAGACACACACACAGTTCTGAAGATAGTTTTTTATATTACAGTACCTTACCTTAGATAATCATAATCATCATCATCATCATCATCTTCATCATCTGGCACTGCCTTATTAGGCTCAGACCAAGGAGGTAAATATGTCACACCTTCTTTCTTCAACTCGCTAATAAAATGCTCGATGATTTCTTTACCCTGAGACAAACATAATTATGGTATGTCTTACCAATAACAGCAATAAGACATAAAAGCATGAAAGACTTTTATGCCGTTAGGACTGAGAGAAAGATAGAAAACCTTAATTTGTATCTGATACATACTTTCAAAGCAATATTAATATATAATAAAAATATAGATTGGCTATGCTACAAGCCCCAGAAGGTCGTGGGTTCAAGTCCCGATGAGGTCATTGGATTTTTTTCAATTGACATAATCCTTCCAGCCGCACAAGGACCTGGAGTTTACTCAGCCTCTAACAGAAATGAGTACCAGGAATTAAATAAATAATTTTCCTGGGGAGTAAAGCACGGCCGGCGCATAAGGCTGACAACCTTACTGCCATCTTTGAGCTGACTGTCTAGATAAGGTGGGACACCCAACGTCTCACAACCCTATGGGCCTTCACGGCCTCTTACAGGGATAGCTTTACTTTAGAAATATAAATTTCTATATAACATACTGAAACATCCGTTTTTGTGTTCTTTTATGAGTAATAAACTGTAACGAAATAAGAAGACAGCAGTCCTCTTGGATGTGGCACCGTGTAGGTATTGTGTTAACTGACGTTTGGGAGAAACATATCGCCTCCATCTTCAAGGTTTCTTCTTTTCTCTTCTACCTTGAAGATGGAGGTGATACGTTCCTCAGAAACGTCGATTAACACAATACCTACACGGCTCCACATCCCAGAAGACTGCGCTCTTCATAGTCACTGCCTGTGAAAACCTGAAATCTTACATGTAATCTTATGAGTAATAAACTGTACTGAAGTAATTATTTTATCTATCTATAATTTATTTAACTCAGACAGCATAGGAGTGAATGATTGCAGGCCAGTGAATTAATTGGAAAGGATCTGGAATGAAGGGGTATGGCTACATGCCCCATTTGACCCTTTGTAAGGCTCCAACATCTACATGCAGTGAAACTGCAATTTAAAGTTTCTTCCGGGGACCAGTAGATTTGAAGACAAAACTGAGTAAAATCTTAAATGGAGGTAATTTAACACTGATATTATTGACTTGGGACAACTCAAATTCAGCGTTCACTGAAGCATAACTTTAAAGCAAGGAATATTTTGGTGTTCTACTGCACTGCGCTGGAGCAAAGAAAAGACGTCCTACTGTAGTTTACGCCTCTCACATTTACTAACCAGCCTGAAATGCTTGTTGCTAACAAAGGTCATTACTCCTTCAGACTGTGGTCCTCTGGGTTGTGACAATATGGAGTCTTGTGGACAAATACCACTGTTTCAGAGGAATATGCTGTCTCCATATTCAGGGTTGAAGCATGAGCCACTGAAACATCTGTATCCACCTGCAAGACTACATGATGTAATAAACAAGAAGACCACAAACTGAACAACTACTGCCATGAAAACCTCAAAACTTATGTAAAGGTTATCACATCATATCACTTCCAACAACCACATCTGCAGCCTTATTATAACTTACGAAATCACAATGAAAGTATCCACACACTCTTAGATTTCTGGTGAGACCAAACATAGATGGGATGAAATGAACTGGATTAACATCATTCATAATTAATTTGTAGCATAATCCGACAGGACCGTAACTATTTTTAAACCTCATTTATTAACATACCTTGGCAATATTTTGTGAATACTGTTTCATGGCTAACTTTTCCATAGAATTCTCAAATCCAAAGAAAGATCTGATATCAAGACTTGCTGACTGCTCAAAACATGTCCAGTCTGAATTTTCTGGATGAACCTGCAAACCAAGACAATTACTCAAATACACTGCTATACAATGTCCCATTCTTTGCTTCAAGTTTATGGAGATAGTGGATGATGGAAGGGAAGGAAAGAAGAAATATGAAATAAAAGAATGAAAATGAAGAAAAAAATAAGAGAAACCCTCACTGCTCTCACATAGCATGTATATTCCCAAACAGTCTGCTTTTACCGGTTCTCACGGCCTCTTCGCTTGCAGAATTCTTATATTTTCTTCTACCCTGAAGATGGAGGCGATACGTTCCTCCGAAACGTCGGTTAACACCACTTATACACGGTGCCAAATCCCAAAAGACTGCTTTCTTCAAGAGAAAGGCTGTTTCACCTTTCTATCATGAAGGTTATTTGAAGATGCTAAATTTAAGTGCTTTTTTTTATTCAAATATACATATACACATACATATGTATGTAGCTTCCTTCTGTAAAGGCGCCTAATAAAGGGGTGATGTATAGCCCAAGATGTTTTAAACATGCAATATTTTCATTATATCATGTATTATATATATATTTGGTGTTTCATTTCACTCAATGCAAGCAGATAATAATTTTAAAAAACATGTTCTCCCTGCATTACTTTTCAGTTAGACATGGAAGCTCAGTTACACTTTCAATTACATTACTAGCTTTGGATGCGTGATGTAGTCAAATTTCCATTATGCTTTAATAAGTTTCCCCAGACAAAATCTTATCAAAATTCAACAAAATTTAAAAAATATGGCAGGTCCATTAGGTATTATGGCATGGGTAAAAGGGAGAATGGGGGAGTGAGACACAATCTTTTGAAGTTATGTGATAATTTATTTAATTTAAACATGATTAGTATGGCACTTATTACAAGGGTGAGTCAAATGAAAACCTTAAATTTGTAATAAAAAATCGAAATTTCGCACCATTATCCTGTAAGTTGGTGAGCGTGCTACAAACAGCACGCAGAATGGCCTGTAGGTTGCAGCATAGTGCAGATTCACGAACACCGTCACAGCACCAGTATAAGATCGCTGCCGCACTTGAGACTTGCACCAGGGAAGAACAGCATTCTGTTATTCGGTTTGTGTGTAGTGAAGGTGTGAAAACTACTGAAATTTATCGAAGAATGGAGTTTCAGTATGGTGATGCATGTTTGTCACAGCAGCAAGTGTACAAATGGAGTAGGAAGCTCCTCGTCCAGGTCAGGCACATTGAGTTGTGACTCCAGAGAACACTGCAGCAGTTGAAGCCATAGTGAGGGAAAACCGCCAAGTGACATTGAATTAAATTGCAGCAAGTTTAAACATTAGTCATGGTTCAGCACACCACATTGTGCACAATGTGCTCCAATTTCACAAAGTGTCTGCAAGATGGGTGCCACAGCAGCTGACTCCTGAATTGAAAGACCAATGTATTGATGCTTGTGAAGAACTTCTGCAGCGCTTTGAACGAGAAGGTGATGACATCCTTGCAAGAATCGTTACTGGGGATGAAACCTGGGTTCACTTCCACCAACCGGAAACGAAGAGAGCAAGCAAGGAATGACGCCATTCCTCATCTCCAAAACCAAAGAAGTTTCAAATACAACCATCAGCAGGGAAGGTTCTGCTGAATCTCTTTTGGGATGAAAAAGGCATTATCTTGGAGCACTACACGCCTAGAGGGACCACTGTCACCAGTGCATCACTCAGATCTCCTAAAGAATCATCTTTGGCCTGCAATCAAATCAAAGCGACGTGGATTGCTGTCCACAGGTATCCTTTTGCAACATGACAATGCAAAGCCCCATATTGCCTGTACAACAGTTGTGACAATCAATGACCTGCATTTTGAGTGTCTTCCTCATCCGACATACTCACCAGACCTTGCCCCAAGTGATTTCCATATGTTTGGACCACTCAAAGAAGCAATGGGAGGAAAGACGTTCCGTTCCGATGAAGAGGTATGCCACACGGTGTATGAGTGGTTGCGCAGACTACCAAAAGAATTTTTTTCTAAAGGAATTCATGCACTTTGTAAGCGCTGGAGGACTTGCATTGAGCGTGGGGGAGATTATGTTGAAAGGTGATACAGCTTTGTACCACTTGTGCACAATAAATAATACTCAAAAAAATATTTAAGGTTTTCATTTGACTCGCCTACATACAAGTGCAGTAACTGTAACTTACATAATATCTGCATCTCTCAAGAACCACCACACGGGAAGCAAAACTTTCATTATGAGCTTCAATATTAAGGGTTCGGTTTCTGACATCTAGCATGTTCTTCTGAACAAAATAAACAAAATCAACGCCTATTATCTGTAACAAACAAAGCAAAGATGTCATCTGAACATTAGAAACATATATCACACCATAAAATAAAATTTTTTATCAGATAAGTGTTACACAAAGAATAACACTTGGAGACAGTGTAGTTAGCAGATAAAGTATGTGTATATACATTTGGGACACGGAAAGAATGATCATGAACAATGACGGTTCAAACTGGCCACCTGCTCCCTCATGCTACCTAGTATTACACACCTCCCATCCCTTAACACCAATAACAGATCAAGAACACAAATATAATAAGTCTGTAGGCACAACAAAAGCCAGAATTCAAGTCACAACACATGGAAGAGGGGAAGGCATGCAGAAGAGAGGTAGCTGCTAGGTAGATGGGTGGAGAAGAATCAGTGTTCATTCTTTCCCTGACCTGACTTCACATTCTTGCTCTGAGAAGTTTCTTGCAGTCTGCAGCTGATATAAAACTTCAGATTTCTCACGGGCAGGCTGACTTGGAGATGGATGACACAAAAAAGATCAAAAAAATGGGAGAGTAGTAGTATATAACGGGAAGGAGTTCTGTTGCTGAGAAGAAGGGTTAAACGAAGAGAAGTGAAGCCAGACTTTGCTCAGCTTATGCTCGTCTTTACGGTTGAAACTGGGGAGCTGTTTGATTCTTTCCCTCATTCACAGATGGTGAGTCTGTATGTTTACATACAGAAATCTAAAATAATGGTAAAATATCTGTAACAAGGAGCTCAACTCTAGAAATTCCTCACCTTTCATGGAACCCAAAGGCTCATTACCATGTTCACAAAAGCCCATTACACAATACATATATGAGTTAAGACAACTGGGAGAGTACAATACATGTGGAAGTCATAAAATTTTAATTATAACCCAGAAGAAACAGAGACACAGGTGCAAGAAATTGTGAGTTAGTCCTTCTCTACATGTGCCCCCTGCGAAGGCCACACATTTTCCCCAACGATGCATTAGCTGCTGGATACCCTGATCATAGAAGGTCTCATTTTGACTGTTTAGGAAGTCCTCCACAGCAGAAATTACATCATCATCTTGAAATCGCTTATCACGAAGCGGCTTCTTTAGCCGTGGAAAGAGGAAGAAGTCACTCAGTGCCAGTTCTGGTGAATGTGGTGGATGGGGGAGAATTGCATATCCCAAACTGGCAGAAAGTGTCGTCATAGCGTGAGCAGCATGAGCCGGTGCGTTGTCATGAAGAAGTCGCACACCTTTTCCCAGCATTCTGAGTTGCCTTTTCTTTATTTCCTCCTGTAATTTTCTCAGAAGGTTCCAGTAGTACTCGCCAGTGATGGTGACACCCTTTTGCATGTAGTCAGTCATGATAACACCTCACCGAACCCAGAACACACTCAACATCACCTTTCCTGAAGATGGCTGGGATTTGGTCTTCTTTGGTGGTGTCAGATCTGCATGTTCCCACTGCTTGCTCATTTCCTTTGTTTCAGGCTCATAATGATAGATGCAACATTAATCCATTGTGATCAGGCAGTCAAAAAATTCCACATTTTCGTCTTGAGACAACTGCAAAAGTTTCTTTGCCACATCCATCCGTTGCTATTTTTGAACTGGTGTCAACAATCATGGCATCCAACACGCAGCGACCTTTGTCATGTGCAACTCATCATGGATGATGTTGAAAATGTGGACCTCATGAATAATAGCTTCAATAGTTATGTGCCTATCAGATAGGATCAAAGTTTCCACCTGTGCCACAATCCCCAGTTCCTCAGCAAGAGATGGTCTTCCACTCTGGGGTTCATCTTCGAGGTTTGTCTGTCCACAATGAAAGTGCCTCTTCCATCTGATCACTGTGTCACATATGATGGTACACCTTCCTGATACATAGCAATCATCTGGTCATGGATTTCCCTGGCAGACTTCCCTTGCAAATGCAGGAACTGCATCATAGCACAAGCCTCCACTTTCTCAACTGATGTCGCCATTTTACTTCTGCTCCTTCCGGTGGCTCCCTCTGTCCACTTGGTGCAGGAAAATTTGACTGTCTGGAAAGCTCAGGAAATGGGCTATCTCCTATATAGAAGGTTATTTTGGAATTATGATTTTCTCATGCTGTGGTCTAGTGGTCAGAATTGCTGGCTACAGATCTAGAGGTCCTGGGTTCGATTCCCGGCGCTACAAACCTTTCTGAGTAGTAGTGGGTCTGGAACAGGGTCCATTCAGCCTCGTGAGGATAATTGAGGAGCAATTTCAAGGAAACAGCGTCTCCGGTCTAGAAAACCGAGACTAACGGCCATGGGGAATCATTGTGCTGACCACGTGACACCCTCTATCCGCTAAAGCTAGCTCTAACTTCGCCGACAAGCGGAGGTCGCTCAGTCAGTATAGTTCGCTTGCAGACTACAGGCCATGGAGTTTGTTCTTTTTATAATTAAAACACTATGACTTCCCATCATATATGCATCTTATTTTTATTCAATATATTACCTTTTTTAATAAGTATGGTGCTTCCACGTTGAGCTTACAACGACGTTCAGTTACTCTTTGACTTCCATCTGGACTATTGGTGTCTGATAATACTTCACAACCTACAAACACAGGGATTTGTGGACAAGTTGGAAATCGCCGCTCATATGCCTGAAACAGATGAAAAATTTTAATTTCTGATTAGGTTATATGCGTCACACAACTACATGCGGTAAATAAACGAACTACATGCAGTAATATTTTCTCAAGGACATTGTATTGTAGGTTTTATTTATTACCTATATCTTCTAAGATTCAACCACAAGGCAGGATCCTTTTAACATTTTTACATCCATTTAATACTTTCAGACATTATGAAACAGTTTATACAATACCTGCCTGATAGTAATTATAAAGAAAGTGAGCAGAATTAAATTTGTTTGGTTGAGTGCTCAGTCTGTTACACATCAATTCTTGCTTGCTTAATACTTTGAAGTCTGAAACTCAGTTAAATAATATTTAACAGTTTGGTGTATGGATCATTAAATAAGCAAGGGGTTTGGATAATTAGAACCAACCAAGAACTAAAACAATTATTCAACGCTCCTGATCTCATAGTAGATATTAAGGCACAAAGAGCTCTGTCTTCTGGGATATAAGGTTGTTTAGTCTGCTGAAAGTCAACAGACATTACGGAGGACCATGTAGCCTCCATCTTCAGGGTTGAAGAATAAGCCAAGCAAGAAACCAGGGTGAAGCAGGTAGCAACATCAGTTGACTTTCAATATATTCAATATACTATATCTCAGAAGACAGAACTCAACATTATCATCAATGTGAGAACTTAAAATGCTACTTAAAAGGAGACTTTTGGGTGGTTGGGGCATCTGATAAGAATGGATTAAACAAAGGTGAGTAAGATATCTTTTGAACTAAGTCAATAGGTAGAAGAAAATGGGAAAAACTCCAGTTTAGATGGTTGAAAGATGCAGACAATAATTTTTAAGAACTGAAAATGAAGATATGAAGACAAANACTGCTCTACAATTAAAGAAATAGAGAATATAATAAAATCTCTTAAACCAAAAAATTCTTGTGGATATGATGAGATATCATCTATTATTTTAAAATTATGCTCGCCATTTATAATTTCACCTATAAATTACATATGCAATAAAATGTTAAGGGGAGGAGTTTTTCCTGATAGACTAAAATATGCGATAATAAATCCTCTGTATAAGAATGGTGATACATGGGATGTGACTAATTATAGACCCATATCACTCTTGACATCTTTCTCAAAAATATTTGAAACTATAATATATACAAGAACTTTAGAACATCTTAATAAGTATAATATCCTAAGTAGTGAACAATATGGATTTAGGAAAGGATTAAAAACAGATAATGCAATTTACAAATTGACTACAGAGATTTTAAATTCTATGAACAACAAACAATTAGTGGCAGGTGCTTTTTGTGACCTGGAGAAAGCCTTTGACTGTGTAGATCATGATATCTTATTGTCCAAACTTAAATCTTATGGTATTACTTGGAAAGATCATGCACTTTATGGATCTTATTTAAGTAACAGATATATTAGAACAGTAATACATAAAAGTGATGTGAATACAGTATCCTCAGATTGGCTTAGTGTTAGACAAGGAGTGTCGCAAGGGTCTCTATTAGGACCTTTAATGTTTCTTTTATATATAAATGACGTGCCTAAAATATTAAATAAATTTTCTACACCTATAATTTTTGCTGATGATACTAGCTTCTTATTTTCACATTCTAATATAAATGATCTTAACAGGAATATTCTTGTAACTACTGAAATCTTAAATGGATGGTTTAGAGCTACTAAGTTATCTTTAAACTTTAACAAGATACGCATTCAATTTAAAAAGCACGACAGTAATGTCAGATACTTTTACAATAAATCACAATAATAAGTTTATCAACAGTACCCTCAGTACTAAATTCTTGGGAGTTACAGTTGATAGTGCCTTAATATGGAAGAATCACACTGATTTACTTGTAAAGAAATTAAGTAAGGCTTGTTAACGTAATTAGAAATATGAAATATTATATGTCTATTTCAGCTCTAGGGGTAATCTATTATTCCCTTTCTTCACTCCTTAATGAGCTATGGTATCATCTTTTGGGGAAACTCATCTCATAGTTCTACTATTCTTCTTCCCCCCAAAAAAGGCTATCAGAGCAATGTTGGGATATGGCAATAGTTTCGTGTAGAAACATATTTAAACAGTTAAATATTTTATCATTTGCATCAAAATATATATTTTTGTTGATAGTATTTGTATTGCAAAATAAAGTTCTTTTTCCATCAAACACTGATTCTCATACTACTGATACCAGACAAAGACAAGATTTGTATCTACCTCAAGCTAATTTAACTATTTATCAAAAAGGAGTTCATTATGTGGGTATAAAAATATTTAATAAATTTCCCATAGAGATCAAGAACAAATCTAACAATTTTAAAAAGTTTAAGGTTGTATTAGGGCATTTCTTGAACACTCATACGTTTTATACTGTGGATGAATATCTAAATAGGTAACTTTTATTATTGTTGTATTCACTGTACTGTCTAGTTGTGTAGTAACTATGTATGTATTCTATGCTCTATATTATTTTATGACATGTTCTATATACATCTTTGCATCTCTTGAACTTACAATAAATACAAATACATGGGGGAGTGGAAGTACAGCTCCACTAATCTTAACCTCAGCACCAGATGGAGGTGAGTGGTCAGCTTCACGCCCTGACCGTTTTATCCCCAGAGAAAGAGCCTTAGCATGCACTGGATAGGAGGGCAGGTGGGCCCAAGAGCCAGTCTGGACGCTGCGGAGAAGAGAAACCGAGAATCGAAACCTGGTAGCTTAGCCCATAGCCCATAGTCCATCCATATACCGAGTGTGCCACAATGTTAAATCATTATTAGGTAACAAAAAAAGACAATAAAAAACTGGCCATGTAAAGAGAAACTGATTTACAACTACCACGTTCAGTATTACAGCCTTGAAATTTCAGAATTAAATGGATACTTTCAGGTTTAGTGGGTCTTGTAAGTATACTCCTGCTTAACATTCAGGTGCCTCTTTGCTTCCTCAGCTGACTGTGCATATTTCAAGGATAGCTCCCTTTCACAACTGCTGGCACGCATTTGATTGTTATGTTCCATACATAACAACTGGGCTATATACACTCATTATCAGCCCAACCAAAGAGTAATTTACAGAATTTACTTCTGTCCCTGTCATGGATGTCCAGTGCTTCCCATGCACACCACAAAGAAGAATATGCTTACAGTTTCAATTCACTGTCTTCAGGAATATGATACCACATAGCATCAAATGACAGGTTGGCAGACACATGAAACGGAAATAATTTTGGTAAAAAGTGGCCTAATTGAGCAACCCAGATCGAATTATTTTAATTTATTAATACATCTAAGCTGATTGCCTCAAAATCCCACCTAAGGCTTGAGTCATCAGAGGTGACCAGCAATGTCAATTGTTCCTAGCATATTCCAGCATAACTAAATTCCGTGGCTTTTAGTCCCAAAGCGAACTATACCGACCGAGCGACAGCCGCTTGTCGCCGAAGTTAGTGCCAACTTTTGCGGATAGAGGGTGTCGCGTGGTCAGCGCAACGAAACCCCACGGCCGTTAATCTCGGTTTTCTAGACCGAAGCCTCTATTTCCTTGAAATAGCTCCTCAATTATCCTCACGAGGGTGAGTGGGCCATATTCCAGACCCATTACAACTCAGTAAATCTGGTAGCACCGGGAATCGAACCCGGGACCTCTGGATCTGTAACCAGGAACTCTGACCATTAGACCACAGAGGCGGATCATATTGCATCATATTTATGTAAATTACTAAACACTTAACGACAGATTGCGAGATTTTTCAGTCACCCTTTACTATCTTGGCACTTTCCTAGAAATACTGGGGAATAGCATGAAAAATCTCAGTAAGGACAACAGACATCTGGCCAAGATTCAAACCGAGCACCTCTCAAATAAGAGTCTACAATATTACGGCTAAACCAACCCGATCAATAGCAACGATTTCAAGAAACCTGCTGCCTCCATTTTCAGGGCAGAAGAGTAGACTGAGCTTGGAAAATATGGCGTAGCTATGGAGAGAGGGTGGGCCGCGACTGCTGTTATGAGCGAAGCAGTGGGAGCAAGGAGAACACTGTAACAAACATTGACCCTTTAAACAGTTTTGCAAAGGCAGAAAGAATTGGGGCAACAATGCTTTCTACATGAATGAATAAGGGGCACGGGGAAATCGGGAGAGACATAGTAAGAAAAGGCTCTCCTACACTGAAGACAGAGGCAGCACGTTCCTCCGAAACGCTAGTAACTATCCATCAGATTACACGGCGTCACATAACAGAAGACAGATGTCTTCATAGTCACCACTGTGAGGACCACAAGTCACATACTTCCTGTTCTCTTGTTTTGATGAAAAAATAAATTTCATACGTTGCTACATTTGTTTTTTTAATAGTCCTCAACTTTGCCCTTCATAAATAATAAGTACTGAACGGGGCGGGCTACACTTCATCTCTTTGATCTTCTTTCACTGCGACGTTAAAAATTAATCTTAGGGCTGATGACATAACATACGATAAGAAAAAACACTTGGAAAGCACGTGTATACACAACACAGTATTACGTTATGTAAGATTCAAATACCAGATACAATAACACTGGCATAAAACCTGCTACCAGTTTTATGAGGTACTGTTGAAAACAAACATCGTTACAAATACCTAACCGTCTTAACCTCAACAACGTGAAAAGGTTCTGTAAAGGCAGCTACATTTATGCTTAGGTACTACATTTGATTCAGAAACAACATGCATTAAGCGGTGCGCTTTCTCGAGAACTTTTTCCGGCAAAGATGGACATTATAATATCGACTCACGCATACATTCTATTGCTGTCAGCTTCAAATTATATTCGTAACTACTTGCTAACAAACATAACGACAGAAAAGCACACTGTGACTATTTATATAAATGATTTTTTATCTACATATTTTAATCAGTCATCTCCTGCTGTTGCATGTGAATAGATTCATCATAAAAGCTCTGTATACTTAAGACATCACAATGCAAAAAAAAG